CCATTTTTCATAACTTTTTCACCAAATACTACAGTAGATCAAAAAAACTATTTTTATTGTAGAAAAATTTAAAGTTACCCCACATGCTTTGATTTCATGTTGTTTATGCGGTGGTTGAAACATATTTTTCTAATTGCCAATTTTTTTTTTCATGTGGAAGCAATAAATAAGGCATAATTAAAGTCAAATATTACTTTTTGCAAACCTCATTCCAAATACTTCAGTATCCTAAATAGAAAATGCATCTTTTCATTATTATGATTTTGAATGCAAGGCTCATAAAAAAACAAATTAAAGGATTTCAGCTGGATGTGACAGTGATTTTTTATGTCTTGTGAGATTTAAGATGTATCCCTTTTCCTTCAATCAGCTTCTGTTTTATTATTTTTGTTATGTCAGTTGAAGTTTTTTCCTTAATTGTCTTATGGCCAAATAAATTTTCTCTGAGGTGATCAGAAAGAAAGTAAATTTATTGTATTGAATCCATTATTTGTAATGAGATGAAGCAACTCCTACAAAGCAAATACAGACATTGTATGGGTTCAAATTGCCTAATATATTATGTTTGCAGTCATTACTGATCATGAAATGAGTGATAAGCTTTTTGGTCAATTATTTTCTGGCAGCAATTTTTCTTGTATTTTTTCCTGGTTGAATAATCATAGTTTAGTACAACCACACATGATTTAACCCATTAGACTGTGGTGTTAAGATGCTTTTTATTGTTTAATTGGGAGGAAAAAAAATGTATTCAAGTCATTTAGTAAGCAAGTGTTAAAGGATATTGGGAGGAAGTATGTGTCAATTTCAAATTTAGGGCTGAGTCTATGTGTACATGGAAAAAATATTTATGTTGAGAGGAGAGATAAACTTTTTTATCAGCCAGAATGGATAAATGTTTATCTGGTAACCTAAATTAAAACCTGGCAAATTTTTATCAATTTGCACCTGGATGTGACTACCTTTTCTATTTCATAGAGGTCTGCAATATTGTTTTCATTATCACTGTTTTTGTTTTCCATTTGTAAATAATGGCAATTCTTTGTCTGGCTTCTCAACTAACAAGCAACATGATTTGCTCTGGAAATTTCTCCTTGGTCTCATGAATACTAATATTTGGATGTCTGTCATGCAATCATTATGGACGTAAATTAAAGCTGACAAATGGCATCATGTATTTTCACTGATATCTTCATGAAACATTTGATCATTGGCTTTCCTTTATTTGAAATGATTTCTTAGCTATCCAGAAGAAATTTGGTGAGTTTTAATGGTTAAACTATCTTTTCAAATCTTCAGGTTAAAATTTAAATTGTTAAGTAAATTATGTACTTCTTTGAATAGTGTCTACATATTCTAGACAATTTCATCAGCACCATTCCCTCTGCCATCTTATTTTGTGTAGTCTTGTTGGAATAATTATTTAACTTTGGTTTGGAAATATTCCCTTAAGGAAAGAAAAAAGTATTTAAAATATGGCCATTTTTGTTTGATATTATTTTATCTTAAATTTTCTGTATTTTTATGAGTAATATATTATTATTTGAAAATTTTGTCCCAGTGCAGTGCAGGTGACATGACGTTAGTGGCTGTAAATTTTTTAAGGGCATGTCCCTCAAAAATTTATTTTTATTAGTTTATTTGCTAGACAGAGACTCTTTCTGAAAATGTATTTTTGTCAGAATTAGTGATAGTATTATTTTATTTCAGTGACATAAACTATTGGATAAAAAAAACTATAATTTCATAACAAACAGAGGAAGGAACCTGTAAAGTTCATATTAATAGCCACTGTTCCATTTTTTTCAGCTCCAGTAACTTGGGTAATAGAAAATGCATTGAAATTGAGTTAATTCCTGTCCAACAAATGCAAAACAACTATACTACTTTTCCTACAGAATTGTCTATGACAGCAATCTTCACAGTAATGATCACTCCTGCTTAATTGAGGCCTGAAGAAAATTCAGGCTAGTACAGGATTTGAACCCATGACCTCCACAATAGCGGTGCAGTGCTTTATCAATGAGCTAACAAGCTGAACACCACTACAAGAACACTACTGCCTAATAAGTAGTGTTCATTACTGGGAAGATTGCCCTCATATTCACTTATTTATCCACAGTTCACATATGATTTTCATATATTCACAGTCATTTTTTTCCTACAGAATCTGCTTATCATATGATTTAGGGTAATTGCAGTTTAATGCTAATGCTGAATGTAAGGAGATAAACATTGCAAAATTTGATCCAAAAGAAATCTCTAATCCAATTAATTGGGAATAACTGTAAGTTAATTTTTTCATTTAAAATAATGAAAAAAAATAATTTTATCATTTTCTAGTGAAAGATTACTGGTAATTGAATATTATTTTTTTCTAAGTGCCATCTTTCAAAATTTGAAAAGGTGTGAAATTTCCTCCTAGTATGGAAAAAAATATAAACAAATAGCAACCTATGAGATTGAGGCTCACACGATAGCCCTTTTAGGTGTCTGATTTATTGTAATTCAGGATTTCCTTTTTATGCAAACATTAAAAATACCCTTTCCTTGCATAGTTAGATAGAAGATTCCCATAATGTTCCCCTGAATAGTGCTCATCAGCCTGCATTTAACCAGTCACACACCCCAAAACAAATAAACTAGAACCACTTTGCATACTAGCATAATAAACTGTTCCTCATTGATGTTCTGCTTTGTAGCTGCATTTGTATGGTCACACAGAAGGGTGCTGTCCACAGAAAATAAGTTAGAGCCTCTTCATATAGCATGAAAAACAGTATCACACGAAAGTACTGCTTAGCCTAGTTCTCATTTTAATGGCGGCATACTAAGGCTTCAACCACAAAAATAAAGCTAGTGTTTCCATTTGAATGGACACATTAGAACCATCTTGTCCAGTGTACCTGTAGTAAACAGCACCACATGGAAGGAATTAATTTGCTGGAAAACATTTTATCTGAATAATGTGAAGCCCAGGGCCCATTTTTTTGAAGGCAAACCCAGGGTGAAATTTTTTTTCCTTGGTGTCTTTATTACTCTTTTTTAAAAGCCTTTGTCAGATAGTTTTCATATTCTATTCAGAGCATCCAATCATCAAATTTTACAAGATCTGAAACCAAATTTTGCACTCACCCAGGATTATATTAACCCCGTTTTTAACATCCTGGCTCAGGAGTGCTGTGAAAGATTTATTTGATTGATTTTGTACAATCAAATTTTATAGGAAATATCGATCAGTTGTAGTTGCATATTTACAAAAATTGGCAAAACCAAATAATCTTTATGTAATACACATTACAATTTAACTCAGCAGAACATCAAGGTGAAGATAGCAACTCTTCTCTTTGTTGCCATATTGCATTATATTGTTCTTTGTGTAAAATTTTTTTCAGGTATCTGTCTCCTTTTGTTGGTTATGGATTATTGCTGTGAGGTCTTTTCTGACACTGAACTGTAGAATATCGATAGCTACTGATTTTCAATATTTTTTCCTGCCATCTGGCTTTTTTTTTTATCCCTTTCACTGGCTGTCTGTCATACATTTCTTCTAAATTAAGCTCTTAGAATTTGAAGTGAAATTTTACAACATACTCTAATTTATATTTTCATTTCCCCTCGTTATTTTGATGCTTGAACATGTATTAATACTCTAAATAATTGTTGGTCACTCCCAACAGTGCGAGGGTTAATTTGACAAACATGAAAAATCTGAGATGGGGGAATCAAGAGTCATTGGAAAAAATTTACATTTGTTTTTGAAAATTAATTATCAATAATCCAGGGTGAACTTTTTCTTTGTCTATTTCCATCAAATTTTGATTCACATACAGTATCTCCCTACAATTCTAATACATTATTCAGCAAGTAGTAGACGAAAATATTTCAACTTCTCTACAATAAAATGTAAAGTTGCTAGAGGTTGTAATCACCAAACACGTTGTGAGAGTAAAAGAGGGCTATTGTTTTACTTCTTGTGGGAAGTGTTCTTTTACTTGGGAAATTTTGTTATGAACATGTGCATTCATTTTGTCATTTGATGTTTCCCTTACATTATGTAGGTGGATATGTCTGTGGTGGTTTTAAACTATCATATGTGGCCATCTTCCCTGAGGGTATTTGTATTATCACAATTGAGGGAATATTTTAGGATTTATGAAAAAGCCTTTATTTGGAATTGTTATTAGTTTGTGAGAGCTGTAGATTTTACTGCCCACAATTTGACTTTTTATGTAAGTTTTGGAATTACTTGAGACCATTTTTGTTCAAAATATAGGGATTGACTTTTCACATCAGATTCAAGCATGGATTTAAAATTTTTGTTACATGCATTTGCACAGTTTCTTTGTCATTTTCTTTGTAAAAGTAATTGAAAATATGTCAAGAAAGTGATTAATGGGTTTATGCAGATAACAGTTAAAAGAGCTATTTTCATCATTTATGTTTATTTTACTTTTGGCTATTTATGTGCCCACAGCTGCAGATTTAATAATTTTCATATTGAAAATTGAAAAAGTCTAGATTTTAAGGTGACGTGAACAATAACAATTGACATGTATTGATTGTAAGCTTTTTAAAATAATGTCTGTTTCTAGATGTACATTTTCTCAGTTAAAAAAAGAACATTAAATTAATTTATAATACAGATATTTGAATGCCAAGGTCTAGAATAATGTGGCTGAATGATAAACGTTTGAGATCTTTTGGTGGCCAGATTGACATATCAAAAGCTAAGTTAGGCTCCCTAAGGGGGAAATAAAAATACCCCATGTGGAGAAAAAGAATGTCGTGATTATCAAGGCAGTTCCTCAAAGCCCTTAGAGAACTAAATCAAAATGCAAAATTATCCTCCTTTGAGGAACATGGTGACCATTCTTGACAAAAGACAAGGGATAACATTGTTGTGATTTTTTTTTTTACTGTACATGTAAGTGATATTTGGTGAGTATTAGTACTAACAGACTGCTGCATAATTCTAACAACAGTGTGTTAAATTTCAGAGTGTTTACACCAATATCAGCCGTGTGCTAGAAGTGGCTGACCAACTGAGCGAGGCTGTACACTATGAATCAGACAGAATCGAAGCTTTAGCACAGGCTGTTAGTCGCGAGTGGAAATCATTTGATATGAACATAAATCAGCGGAGTTGTTTGCTAGCATGCTCAGTTGCATATCACAAACACAGTGAAGAGGTAAATACTGACTGTAAATGTACAAACAGTAAATACTTGACTTGGGAGGTTTTGGTTGTGTTTGTTCACTTATTTTGCCTTTTTATTGTAAATAATGTTATCTGTGGTTTTTGTGTCTTGCTAATTCCTCATATTGTACACTTTTGCAGTGTGTTTGTAATGGAGTTACAAAAACTTGTAATGTGCTTGCAAAATCCTGCAGTTACTGATATTTTCATTGTAGCTTTCTTAATGATTGATTGAAATTTAGTGATAAATTGCAGTTGAACTTAAGCTTTTTAGTGTTACTGAGAGGCCTTATTAAAAATTCAACAACAACCAACCATTTATTTGTCTTCAGAACAACAGAATACATGTGATTCATTCAGTACTTGTAATTTCATTCAGATGTGTACCTTAATGTACACTATCTGAAATATGTCTTTCTCCTGCGTCAACCCACTGAAATCCTATTTAATTAATTTATTGACATTAAGTTTAGACATTAGTTGTAATTCAAACTGTATTTTCTGTTTATGGGAGCTTTGCCATGACAAAGTGTAACAAAATGATTTTATTGTTTTACATAGTTTCTTCACAATGTGAAACTCTGGCAAGGAAAGCTTCAAAATGATGAATACCTGGATATCAAGGAAGTTGCTGAAGTAGAAAACTTATTAACAGATCTAAATGATTTACGGCAAGAAATTGAAGATTCATTTGAGACTGTTAGCTCAGACAGCAAGGCACTGCTAGCAGAACTCCAAAAAAATCCTGTTCATGTGGATAATCAGTTTCTGAAAAATCCTCAGTTTTCTGAAGAAGCTGGATCCCATGTGATGGACATTTACCTGGAAGTTCACGAGCAGCACAGACAATTAGGAATGTTATGGGAAAAGCACAAGGCAAGACTTAAAGAATATTTACACCTGTGTATGTTTGATCAGGACAGCTCCCAGGTAAAAAAACTTCTTAGTGTACATGCAATGTGATTTTAGTTGGTTGTGCAGGGTCATAGTGTATGTGATAATATGTATTCTTGCCCAGTGAGCCAGTAGGCCCTGGTGAGTGTGTGCAAATTGAAGGCTTGTGAGCAAAGGGAGGCAACAAGGGACCCGGATCTTTTCACTCATCTCTTACAACCTTGAAGCACAAGCTGCAGCATTTAGTTTTTGGTCTTTGTTTGGTTTTGACATGTAATAGACTCTGGAGGAGAGAGTAGGTTGTGTGGCTAGACCAAACAATGACTGCACACGAGCCTGTGTAGGGATGAATACTGTTCTTGTGACAATGGCAATAACTCCAGTACATATGCAGACATATTTCAGTAATGGAAGACACCTGAAAAGCAACTGCATCTGAATTTGAAATTTAAAATTTGGAAGCAGTCAACTTAGGCTCTCAAACATTGTTCATAAAACAAACAAACAAACAAACAAACAAACAGGAAAAAAAAATCTTCTCTTTCAGAACTCTTTAATTTTTATGACTTTCTGACAAACAGCAGTCACCTTCAAAAACCCATTGAAAAGTTGTGACTGTTATTTTTTCTTTTATATTTTTTTTAACTGCAAATTTCATCTATTAATCATAATTTAACTTTTTTCCAATGACTTGTGCATGGAAGTCAGATGAAGGCTTTTGTCAAGTTTTATATTTAGCTCATCATTCTTTCCTGGGTTTCTTTTTGTTTCTTTTTTGAAACTGATCAAGACAAATATTTTGTTAATTGAAGTTGTCCTGATTGAAAGCCATATTTATTAACTTGATGTCCTTTGAATTTGATTTAATTATTTGACTCCAACCTTTGCCAAAGTACCTGTATTACTAAAAATTAAAAATGTGCCAATCACCTTTTTAACTAATAGCTCACAAAGTTAATTGATGATTTGGTTTTATCAACTAAGTTGATAATGTAGGTTGGCCACCGTAAAGAGTTTAAGGCTGATGTTTCGAGCGTTATTCTTTAGAATAGTTGATGGTTAGTTAGGTATTATTTTTATCAATTTTTTTGTATCCCTTTAAGACATTTGAAATTTTTTTTACAATTTTTTGAAAGGTTTTATGAATAATTCCCTCTTGATAAGTTGTTTTTTTCTGTCACTTCTAAGGATATTTCTGTGTATGTTGCGTTTTTAGTTGATAACAGTGTGTCGTCGTCTTCAATGATCAGATTATTGATTTCTGAAAAACGTTTCCCAGGGGTGGGTAGGTGGGCCTTTATTTCTTCGTTACCGATCCCCGGATGAGACAAGTTTGTTAACCTGTTGTGGAGAGACAAAACTTGTGTTTCACCTGTTGAATGGTTAACTCTGTGAATCATATTGTGAATCATATTCGCCCCAACTAATTGTTTGATATTTTTCTTTCTTTCATCGTTTTCTCCTTAATTCTTGTTCAATCTTAAGCAACTAAAAATGCATGGACTTACCCTCACAGGTTTTCGCTTAACTATCTTCGTTTAGTTACAATGTTTGTTGGAAATTTTTCTAAGATTGTAAATTATGCAAAAGCTTGTCTTCACTACGATTTATCATTTTATTTTTATTATTTAAAAGGTGTGAATGGCGTGTGACATTTCCTAAGGGAAAAAATTTAAATTCCATGCTTTTAAGATTAATTGTAGTTAAAATCGTTGCTCATCGAGAATAATTTTTTTTGTGTGTCCTTTTACATACGGAGTTTTAATCTGGAGAGTTTTCCATGCAAACTACTGTATTAATAGACATTTGTTTCACACCCAAAGGCAGTAACATCCAATCACATTCAAGCTTGCTTATTTCATTTACAACGAAGCATTAGAAGTGGCAAAGAATGATTGCTTTACTTGTGTTTCACCTGTATGTCGGGGAAGATTTCCTCTCACCGTCGTTTTAAATGTGTGAGGTTTTACTGGATTTGGTCCTGTGTAAAGATCAGAGAAATGATACCGCTTTTAGATACTGGATAGGCAGAATGGTAAGCTAACTTGTTTAGTGCAATTGGTTGTGAAATATATCGTTACTAGCCTAGCCGATATATTCAAATACCTTGGGTAATAAATTTGTATTCATGGTCTATTGTGTAAAATCAAGTTTCGAGACTTGAACAGTTTTATTGGAATATTCTAAGAAATATTTTTTTTACGTGATGGGCGATAGTGTTTGACAAGGAAACTAAGCCTACGAAATTGAAATGAGTATTTGTCTTGAATTTTTCATGTCACGAATATTCTGTTTCATATTCATTACTTTAGTATTTGTTTTGTATTTGAAAAAATATTAAGATTATCTGTACTTCTTCCGAAATCAGAATTTACTCCAAATTTATTTTATTTGTTTTGATCGCTGTTGTCTGTAGTCGCTATTCCTTTTTTCCCGTTTCTTGTTGCCATATACACGTGTCTTGTGGGATAATGCCGCTTGTGTTTCAAATCGAAGATAAAACCACTAGCATCAAATGCAATTATTTCTTTAGCGTTTTGCCTCTTCCAACCTAGTCCTGTAAACTCGTTTAGTCGTTCTCTATCATTTATATTGAAGAAACTAAAAATACGTTTTGAGCTGAATAGGCTTTCATTGCTTCAACTAAATATTTGGTTCTGTCCAGTTAATATACTGCGTTCTGTTTATTAGTAATTTGTACCTCAGGTCATTCACTAGCTTTAGATATTCTTTGGTAATTTTTTTTTCTTGGAAAATTGCATCGAACGAATTGTAAGCTTTCAAATAAATGTATTTTATTTTTGCCTTAGCAATATTTCGCCGTCGACGTTTCTCGTGTTTCGCCTAATTTTATTTCACTTTCGATGTATATGAGAGGTCTTTGTTTTGCATTCAGTCTTCCTCTTGTTTAAGGCATGTTTTTCTTGTTTAAAATTCGTGAATTTACCATAGGAAGCGGACGTAAATTTAAAACCAAATACAAGAGAGTAAGAGAAAGATCCTCTTTATTCAACAGGTGTTGAGTAAAGAATAGGGAACACTTCCAAGATGTTTTCCATTCAAATGTTCAAATTATGCCAATTTATGCAAATTTGGATCAGATATGCAAACTGGTCTTTGTGGTCGACAGAAAGCACAGTAAAGAGTGGCGGTCATTGTGTATAGGAAAAGAAATACATTGTTTTATTAAGCTTTTTTTATTTCGTTCTTCGTGTGTTTTCTTAAAGAGATTGGTTCGTTTCAGGAAGATGGTGTAAATTAAATTTTTTTGATTGCCTTCCACAATTCAGACAAATTGAAAGGGAACCTACTTTAAGTTCAAAATGATTTGTAATTGAAAGGGGAAAAAACCCATAGGGAATTATTTTTATGCGGAATTAGATTTGACAGGGGCTTAGAGCAGGTGTTCTGGCAAAATATTTTTAAATTTTAATGCGCTTTATTTCTAACTGTATTTACAAATGCTGAAATCTCCTCCAATCTCTTAGCATGCCCGGAATAAAAGTGAAAATTTGTTACAGCAAAATTCTGAAGTGTTAACCTTCAAGATTAGGAAGTTTTGCTTTAAGCATTTTCTTGTGCTACTATCGGCAAAAAACCTTTCAGTCCTGCATCAGGATGATTATGATGAGGTTTGGTATTTTCTTAAAGGAGAATTACTGCAACAGAAACAGATTGAAAGGAATGAAGATGAAAAATTTCTCAGTGTAGTTTATAGTTTCTATCATGTATTTTAAAATGGTAGGTACCTCTTTCATAATTATGTTTGCCAAACGTTTTTCCGGTCATTTTGGTGACAGTGTTTTTTAATGACTGGTTGAAGTTGCTAGGACATTTGTTGTCAAAATACGCCAAAAAAAAAAAAAGTAATGAATCATTTTATTGCTCAAGGTCATGGAGGTAAAAAATATAATTTTGTACCTTTACTAATGTAGATTGAAATACATAATATTTTAATTTAAGTCTTGAGGCGTTTGTGTGCATTCGAAGAGGAAATAGTTACTTCTTTAGCAAAACTCTATGCACTATGGACTACTTAGCTTTTTTCAATTAAAAATTGAATAATGTACTGTTTCAACTGCTCTACATTTGCTTCCTGTTAGAGTAGCAGCTTTATCGTTTTCCCTCAGGGTACATCCATTTACAAAAATCTAACCAGTAGTAAAGTAGTGTTTAGTAAAGTTACTTTTAAAAAGTTTGATATTTATTAGGCTTTTTATCGAAAGGTACATCATGGACACATCAATCACTCGATCTTTGTCATGTTCTTTCCAATGAGAAACAGAAATCTAAACCAATTACTTATCCTCTTTTTTACGTTTTGTATCGTGGACGGTTGCGAAGGCTGTCATAAACCTTGTGTAATGGGTTGATATTTTGTGCTCGGTATATCAATTACAGTGTTAATACTTTTTTTGTTGCAGAATTTGCAAGTAAATGTAAACATTGAAACACGTTTTTCCCTATTATTGAGTTGATTGCTTTGTGTTGATGCCAAATTTTGATTTCAGATTTGTCTGTTATTTATTTCTTTATTATAATATTTTGTTGAGTTACGGTCTGTGAAACATCGTATTTTATGTTGATTATTACCAAACATTACTTCGCTTTGCAAATAGATAAGAAAAATGGTAATTTTTTTTGTTTTCACATGTTTCAGCGTAATGTAAACTGCACTGTCTTGTTTACATGTGGATGTTTCCCTTTCTTACTACGTAGCTGGGCAATATGTTTTTATAACAGACTTCAATAAACTTAACAACAGCCTTTGTCGAGGAGGCCAGAGTATACCAAACCGCTGCTTAAAAGCAACGTGTTTATAGGAAAGATAGATAGGTATTTCAGGTTTGTTAGGAAAAGGAACCATTTTGTCGTTGTTGGTTTTTACGGTCACGGTTCGAAATTCTCAGTATTTTGCAACGAAAGGCGAGCTTGGAAAACGAAATTTGAACGATATTGTGCGAATGTGGTCGTAAGCAAGGCAGTAGCCATTGTTTCTGTTTCGAACAACATTTACTCATTTATGTGATGTTGTTATTGATACTTATATGTATGTGTATCCGGTGGAAAAAAAAATCGATGCCTGGATAAGGTTTTCATTAGTACGGAAAGTTAGTCGTCATTTTACAACCTCTGCAAAGACAGAGTAGGAGTAACTAAGGCGTTTATTGTTTTTTATTTAACATATTTTTAAACTTTGAGCACGTTGATCGTAGGTATATCGCATTTAATCTTTGTGTAATTTTCGTTTTGTTTAAAATCTTACTTTCTAACGTTGATCTCTCCTTGAGGGAATTTCCTTTTCATTTCATTTAATTGATTTTAAATCTCGTGACAACTTTTTTGAAGTAAACGTGAAAAGGCTTCCGTGGAAAAGCACGTTCGATATTGCATCCACAGTGAAATAATTATCGTATCAGCGTGATATGTTTATACCTGTGGTCAAATGCCAGTGTTGTCTCGATTCTCATTGTTTTATAGTCGTGCAAGGGGTAAGACAATTTGTCATTTCTTTTTTTCTTTCTTTCTTTCCTTTTTTTTTTTTTTTTTTTCCCAAACCACTGACAAATAACAATATTGCTGAAGTCAAATACCGGTAATAGTAATATCATCTAGTTATATTTGATTTTAATATAGTGTACTAATTTTAAACCAATATTTACATTTGGGTCACGCAACTTCTGTAAGGCACCACCTCATTACTTGACTAAGAACCTTCTACAGGTGTAGTTTGGAGAATGAACATAATTTTCCAGTGTATTTCCTCTGACGACTGTCATTGGTGGTGAAATTGGAATTGTTATGAAGGTTCAAGTAATTTGTTTCACAACTAAAAGCGAAGTAATCTTTCAAACGAGAAAGACTTAAACGTATTAGTTTGTTCGGTTGGAGGAAAAAAAAAACACGCGCACACAGAAAGATAGTAATCCGAAAACAAATAGAGATGGCTAAGAATGGAGAATAGTGACACGGACTGTAAACGCCAATTCTTTAAAAGCAAAATAAGTTCTCTCTAAAATATCCATACATTATCCAGCAACGAGGTGAAAAGAATACTCAAATTCTCTAAAAGCACCTCCGATACTTGATTCATTGGACCCGATCTTAACAGGCTAATATGCATTACGTATTTTAGAGTGGTTTTCGATTGAGTGTCGTAGAGCCAAAACCAAAGGAATCACAATAGCCAATCAGAACTGAGGAAATATCACAAGGAGCCAATGAGAGCTGAGAGTGAAGACAGGCTACCTGAAGCGCGGGAAAACGCGGGTGACCAAGTCGCGATTGGTTTTAGTTTGGAATCTGATTGGTTGATAGAGTGAGGTTGAGAAATCAGAGCAATCCTGGAGTATTTTCGACACTGGATGGAAAATTGCTCTCTGCCTGTGAAGAACTTGTATAGATTTGTAATCCTACGTTTTTTGCTCTCATTTTACCAGGTTATAAAATGGATTGAGGAGCACGGAGAGACATTTCTGTCCAAACACACAGGTGTTGGCAAGTCGCTTGTTAAAGCAGAGGCTCTGTTGAAGAGACACGATGAGTTTGAAAGCATTGCACAGGTTAGAAACGTGGGTTTTTGTAAAGAAATGTTTATGTGAACCTCTCTCTACATCTCAATGAACAACAACCCTTGAAAGTATTGCTCAGTAGCTTTCATTTGGACTGTCATAGCGTGTGAGCAAGCCCTCATCCTTAACGCTTCAGCGCGATGTTTCTACGCCCGCCGGAAAGTAATGAGGCCTTTAGCGACGCGAGCCAGCGAGAGGTTTGCCAGTGGTCTAGCATTGATTATTAGTGCCAGATCCCGATAAACCTCTCCCGACTCGTCTCAATCTCCCCGCGGGTGGAGAAAGGCGCGTCCTGCAGCGCTATTAATGAGGGCCTGCTTCAGTACTGTTTTGAACGGTCACATACCAGAATTTCACTCACAGACTTAAAATATAGAACGAATTTATAGAGCAAAATAAACAGTACGAGATTAAATTATAATACAGTAGCTTCCATTTGAATGGTAACGCGCTAGGGATCTTTCATAGACTTAAAATTCATATTCGTTTGCACAACATAGTGAGGAAGTTGGAAAGAAATTTGATTTTAAATTTTGTAATCGCATGAGTTTATGAGGCATTCATGAAAATCAAACGCATTTTTCAGTGAAAGATAAGGCATCATTTCCTTCTCAATTTTATGATCAATTGAATTGATTTCATTTTGACTTCATTTCCTACTTCTTTTGGAATAATACAAAGTACTTAGCGCGATTTCCTGTTTAGATCAGGAAATTTTTTTTGTGACGTCTTGTTGGGTACCCCTTAGATCGAATTTCTTAAAATGATGCCGAAACCTTATGTTCCATCTCCTTCTTATTTGTCGAAATTCCGTTTGAAATAGCTTTAAATTGTTCATTGATTCTGCTCCCTTGTGGTATTTCTTTTAAAACAATTTTTCTTTTTTAACGAACAGTTAAGCATCTTCTCTCTCTTTTATCAATTCCTTTAAACGACTTTATACCAGTTTGGAACCGTTACAATTTATTCTCCACCCCAGCGTCTCATGTCTGCCGTTATTAATTTAAGGGGGCGCTGACTTGTATAGTCATTGTCCGCTTCAAGAGTATCAGTTGTCTTAGTGACTTTTGCGATCCGGAATACACAACATCCTTTGTCTGAAGTAATTACATAATGCTATTAAGGAAATTAATCAAATTTAACAGGTTTGAATTTTCAGATTGAGGTTTTTCGCTCCTTCCTGTAGTGTAGTTTTTTCCCTTAACAGAATAAATAATTTCCATTGAAGGGTTTCTTAAGTCTTAATTTTTAAATTTGTTGTAGTTTTTCCTGTGAAAGTGTCTCTTGACTCGTTAAAGTCTCACATAAAAGTTGCATGTAACAATTAGCGTGTCATATCTCTCACATCTGTAGCCCCGGCGAATGAACCCTGTTGTTTTATCCGTCAGTTGAAAGCTACTGAGCAGTATCTTGATCAAATTCTGTTCATCAGCTTTCAACTTCGGAAGAGTTTTCTAAGGTGTGAGGATTAAAATTTTTGTGTGACAGCTGAGTTGAAATCAATTCTTTATTATTTCAACCACTTTTTGTTAGAGAGGGAAATTAATTTTTGCCGTGTGCAAATTTGTTGATGTGTTCTCTCGTTACTAAAAGGGTAAATAAGGTTAAGTTAAATTGGTTGTTAATCCGTAAAAATTCATTCTTTCCTTGCGTGTTTTTGCTCACCACAAAGTCTACAAGTGTTGAACTTTGCTCCACGTTAAGTGCTCTTTGATAACTTTGATTTTGTTTTTTTATTTGTGCCGATTAGAGCGTGTTAAACTGACGGAGAAAATTTATCCGTTTTGCGTTTTAGTCGCATTTCTTATGGCTAAATGTCGTCTTTCTGTAAAACATGATAGACGAGTTTTAATTTTGTTATCTTGTTGTCCTATGAAAATAATGTTACGCTATAAAAATAATCTTTCCACTTGAATATGTTTGTACTTTTGCTAATCTATAGATTACATTACTGTTGACGTTGTTTTACCATATTCTTCAATAGTTACAGCGTAAAAAGCTTTAATTTTGTCCATAAAACGACAAACTTGTTTCACTGCTGTGAACTCAGCGATAAGGGTAATTAAGATGATTGTCAATTATTATATTAATGCTCGGTGCTATCAGACTCACGAAAGGTTAGATGAGGCCGCGAGTTTATTTCGGGAAGTATTTTCAAGGAAATCGTGTGAAAAATTGTTTGTTATGCAGATGGGTGGGAATAGTCGCCTGTAATCTGAAGTATTGTTATCCGATTTAGATAGATCCAACACGTCTGCCTCGCGGCTTATTTTAGAAATAAGTACTTTTGCATCACGCTTCACCATGTTTGCGGTTTTATATTTCAGAATACCTACACAAATGCAGCTAAACTACTCGAAGCCGCGCGCCATCTGGCGAGTACAGGGGAGTGCAATCCGGACGAAATACAGAAGCGCGTTGACTACTTCGAACAGCGCGTCCAAGAGTTTATCAGTCGGGTGAACAGACGGAAAACTTTGCTGAAATTAGCTGTCAATTTCTATTCCCGGACACAAAAGGTAATGCTTTCGCATATTGAATTCAATCAAAGTTAATTATCAATCGATCGTTCCAGGAGGTCATATATTGTGTCATATGGTGTAGACAACAACGCGGTCGAATTTCACTCAGGATGTGAGAAACGACATGGCTTCGTTCTTTCAACGAAACGTTTTGCGCGCACTATGAGTCCTTGAGTCCGTCTGTGTGACAACACTTAGTTGCTTTATTTGTTAACATGTTTCCTACCGCCCTGATCAGACCTCTGAAAGTATGCAACGCGTGCATACATCAGGCAAGTTCATCTTCCTTTGTAGACATGTTTTCAGTTGTACGTGCTCTAAATGTCAGATCTAACATGTAAAAGGCGATCTTGTGAAAATCGTCTTCATTCAGTAGCGCGAATTTCATATTCGTCGTGGTTTGAGAACAATTCCTTTTTGTAAAGATCGTTCAGTTTTTTGATTGAGTACGTGTTGCTTCAGCTCAGTACAGGAAAGGGACGAGTCCAAATCATTTCTCCGCTTCTGTGACATAATTTGTCTTGTTACACTGTTTTATTGGTCTATTATTTTACGTCCATCTTCGTCCTGTCATTCACAAAGGTTCTGGAATTTTTAAATTGACATGGCTGATCATATGCAATGATATACAGATTTGTGTCAGCCGCTGCGTTGTGACGATGTATGAGAAGGCCTGGTTAGGAAGTGTGGGTGCGTAGCTATCGAGCGCAGCGCGCAAGCCCTCTCCTCTAAGAAAAAAATCTGTCCAGTTATTGCGGTGTTACTCTCGACTCACACACGCGCACTGCCCGTGATCAATGTTTAACATGAGTGTGGCTGAGTTTGATACGGACGATGACTCCACAGTGGTTTTTGTAATAACTTTATCATCACTTTTTTTTCAGCTCTCTGAACTGGTGGAGCAGCTAAAAGCGCAGCTAGAGCTCGAAGAGGTTTCCGACAATCCGGACAACATTGCTACTGTGTTAACGAACTTAAAACACCAGGGGGAAGCAACCTTGGATTCGATTCACACAGCCATTGATGAAGGAGAAACGATCATCGAGGAACTCAAGCTTGCCAGCTCTGATGGTGTGGACTCGAGTTCGCTACAGCATGTGGAGAAAGTTATCAAAGAACTTGACAGAGTACGGAGAGCCATTGAACATTCATGGACGCGAAGGAGACAACAATTAGAGTGTTGGTTACAACTGCGGGAATTCGAGAGATCTGCAAAACTGGTACGGTATCTCCTTAAGCGCCCTGTAGTGTTAAATGCACGAAATTAAACTCCAATCATGTATTCTTTTAGCGAAAGTGGGCGACATTCCTTTACACTCTGTTTCGCGATCACAATGCAAAAAGCTAAAATCACTTAGCCTGGGTGCAAGTAGCTCTTGACAGGTACTGTGTTAGAACACGTAAGAGTTTGGTCTGTGTTCTTCCTGTCTTTGCATTGAGCCGGATTTGCGAACTTGTCTCACAGCGGGAACGTAGCAATAGATTTAAAGCTTCGCGAATATACAGGTTTAAATAGGATTTTTCGAAGTGGAATTCTCGCGTAGAATCCGTCATAAGGTGATTAGAACGATGTTAGGGGTCACATTTATGAAATTGCGTGCTCGGATTTTTCTGTTGTTTGCATGCTATTGTTCTACGCCTCATGTTTTCATTTACGAAGCGCTTTCTCAGTTTATTAACTCGTATACATAAAACAGTTTTCACCCGAGTGGTTGAAGACTTCCTTACGGTCATTTACAGACTTATCTGTTCAACCTAAGCGGAGCGCGAGTCTATATTTAGCGGCTCTTGTTCGGAATTTGCACTACAGAACTTTTCGTACTCAAATATCCATTATGCATTAGAATTCTTATCTTTGTTCCAAGCAGCAATGTAAATAAACATTAAGTCGGCAATCGATACGAGGATTTTGGGATGTACATACACAGTGAAATTTGATACATAATACATCTTGTTGTGTGTTCCGCTTTGGAATATTTCAGCCCTCGGCTATCGCAAAATATTACTCGCACTTAAACGAAGATACTTTTGAATTTTTTCTCGCGGCTCTCCCGAGATCTTTGGGCGAATAAGCTTGCACGGCCGTCGAACCATGAAAATATACGGGTTTTTTTTTTTCGACCCGGCAAGTGATCATTTTACAGGTTCGTTCACATTTTCTTGACCTAGAATTTTTTTCCTTGAAAGGAGCCTTTTATGACTTACTTACTGTTAAGCTATCAAACTAAAATCTTACATTTTTAACTTCCATGACTCATTGAAATGAGGTTGTTACAGATGAGTGCGTTCCGTTTTCAGCTAAGTGTCCTCTGTGGAGTTGAGAATCTTGTTGTTCGAAGCTATTAGCAGAAGAGGGTTAAATTTTGACCCCCATTTAACATGAAGAAGCTGTTTAAACGCTAATGGAACTTTTCTAATAGAAATAAAATTTGTGGGCGGATAATACGCCGATATATATTGGCTGCGAGTTTTTTCACGAAGGCAGTTTAGTTCTTATTTGGAAAGTTTATGAAAACAAGTATTGTCTTAAGTAATCATATCAATTTCAAAAGATTTACACGTCAATGGTGTCCATTTCAAAGGTCACAATCCCTTTCGGTAAGAACCAATTGTGAGTGTGTTGTAGTGATTTTAAAGGAATTTTTAATCGCTGATTCGCTTGAATGTTTCTATTGACAAACTAAAGCTGTCAAGTTAAGTTAGCCTTACTGTCAAGTTAAATTAGCCTTACTGCACGGCACGAAGGATTCGGCTTCAGGTCAATGATTTCACCCTAAGACGTCGGAAGGTATATTCCTTACGTCAAAAATATCATTTGGAGAACTTTTGAGAGTCTTTTAGAATTTTTACCTCTTAAAAACATTGATCTGGAGGATATATTTGGATTTACGCGTTCTGTGTTTTTATGGACCTAGTCTCATGTGTCAAAAACTTTGTACAGCTTGGTAAACAGTACCACGTGTACAAGAGTGTAACATATCGTCAGCCTATAGTTGATGTGTCAATTTGGAGTATCTTCTCTCAGTATTTTCCAAAAATGAAGCAATAGAATATTTAAAAAAGCTTTTATGATGAAGTGCAGTTTACTCGTTTTCCAAGGTAATATAGCACTCGAACTAGTTTGGGCCAAAAGCAAAACAAACAGCTTACCTCCATCGATCGTTAGTTATTTATTTAGAAATTCTATATGATGTTGAAAACCTGAAGTACTTCTTTAGTTGGTCAATCTCACTCAACACGAAGACATTTTGGTGTCTGGCCTGGCAAAAGATGTCGTGTGCCGCGTGCTAACCTAGGTAAAGATTTCTTTACAATATGCACGTACCAACAGAGTTTCAACCCTTCCACTCTTAAATGTGAGCAGAGATATTTCTTACAACACCTTTTTAAGCAGAAAGGAGTTGAAACACTCCAGAAAGAAAATTCGGCCATATGATGTAGAAGTGAACACCCAATTCTCATATTCGAAATTGTGAGCAGCGTTCAGCAGACCTTAAGAAGAATTGAATTTTGATCTTTGAAGTGAAACGATCAAATAATTTATCGTATCAGCTGAATTGTCATAACGGTATCTGAAAAGTGAAGAGAAGATCCGCTAATACAATTATTTGATCCACGGAGAGATAATTGTTGATCTTGTGTGGCATGATTGCCACCATATGAAGATTGTCTCGGACCTCATCTGTCAACGAACTCTAAAGTTAGAACTGCTTGCTTATTTACTAAACTTTCTTCCACCCGCTAAAGCTTACTTGCAAGCGCTGCTCAGTCGCTTTCATTTGAATAGTTAGGTACTAGGGTTTCAATTGCAGACGTCAAAGTCAGAACCACTTTGTACAGCTTGACAAACAAAACCACTTGCAAGTGCTGCTCACCGCGCAGTAGCTGCTTTCATTTGAATGATCAAAACCTAGGTTTCATCCATGGATTCCAAAGGAACAAGAGCGCCACGAACAGCATGATAAACAGCAATACATGAAAATAAAAACTGCTCAGAAGCTTTCGTTTGAATGTTCACAAAGTGGGGTCTCATCCACAGACTTAAAACTTAAACTTAAAACTTAGAACCATTTTTACAGCCTAATAAACTGATCCTCATGAAATTAATGCTCAATAGCTTTGATTTTAATGTTTTCTCCCAAGACGTACGTGTGGAAGGTGTAACCTCCGTGTAGAACATATAAAAAAATGGCATAAGGAAGTATTGCTTAGAGGCCTCATCCACGACGTGATAATACCACTTGTACCACAGGTGTCCCAAGCTCACGTTTCCTGACTAGCGGACGTGTATGTACCCCAGTTATTCATGAAAGGGTCACCCGTTGTGTGATGTGTGTCCGAAACTTAATCTTTCGCTTTTTTCTTGAGACGTGAGCTGGGGACGCCTGTGCTTAAACGTGCATACTGAAGCTTTGATTAATTGTTCGTATTTTGAAACGTTTTCATGAGCAAATCCAGTACGAGGTCCATGTTATACTCGACAAATACCTCAAGAATATACTGAAAACTTTTGTTTGCGTGCAAGAACATACAAAAATAGTCGTTGGGGACGAGAAATCTTTTTTAATCTGTGCTATTGGGGATGAAATTATTCATTCGACCGCCAAGAATGAGCTCATGGAATTCCTTGGTGTTAAATGGCCGATTAACGAGCTCTTAAGACCAAGATCAGAAAAGCCATGGCTAGACGAAACAGGTGCCTTAACATGTCAATAACTTTTGGCTTTGTATTGTCGTTGTAAGAAGATTCAAATGTTGTAAGGCTCTTTGTGTCACTTTCGTATGAAAATAACCTTTCAAATTCAGTCGTGACTTTCGAAAGCTGAATTCTTTGGCAGCTTTCAGAACAGTTCGCAAGCTAGAGTTTCTTTGCGTGTAGATTTTAAACTCAAGACCGATTTTGTTATTTGCGAGCCGAAAACGTCGTTCCCAGGAGGAGAATGTTCACGAAGGAGCGACTTTAGCCAAAAACTGTGAAGTATGTAATTTGAAATCCGATGTAATCTTTTCTACCCGTCGGTATCTCCATTCCCTCTTAATTTATTCTTTCGAATGTGTTATTTTTCTACTTTTTGATTTGCCTTCTCACTAAACTAATTATGTATAGTTTCCTCCACGATGAAAGTAATTTTGCACGTCTCAACAAACAACTCAGAGCATCGTGGCAAATCACTTTTGTAGCAGTCGAGCTCCTCATTTTCAATCGCTGTAAATCTTGTCCATCCTTGCCCATCTTAGTTACTTCTTGGTTTGTGATCGTCTCTGTATTGTTTACTCTCTCTCTAAACCAACATTTTTTGAGTTTCATTCACGATTTCGATATTTTTGCGCCTCTCAACAGAAGGTTCTGAGCAACGCGCCGTGGTGCATTTGTCGGCGAAGAGAGACTTCCTCTTCTTCATTACATCTGTAACTTCCGTAGCAAATTTTGTATTCAGCGCTTAAACTATACTGAAATTATCCCTAAAGTCGACGATGAAATTTCAAAACAACGTTTTCACAGTCTCTTTCCCGTCTTTGACCCCGAGCTGTTACAGAAGATCTCTCGAATAAAGCGGCCAACATCGACGTGATGGAATTTTGATGGCTTAATCATATGATAATCATGTAATCACTTCTTGTATCGAGCCTCAATAAATATTTACTCGGTCACCGCAGAACAAGCTTCTTTAAACAACTGTTGGTTTCTCATAGCAACCTCTTATGTAACAGGTTTTTCTTTCCTTTGCTTTTCAGCTGAAAGATCGTCTGGAAATTTGCGAGGAGCATTTGGAAAAAGGAAGTGTCGCCCTGGATTTACCTCGAGCAAAACAGTCGCTCGCCCATCTTGAGGAGCAAATGAAAGACATTGAAAATGCCGCCATGAGAACGTTTTGTCGCGGCGAGGAACTTATAGATTATTTAAAACAATCCGAGATAGAACTGCGCGTGAAGGATCCGTTAACGTTAGAGAACATAGACGCTCAATCGCACATTCATAATTTACTAGAAGTTTTACATCGCAAAAGGAGAGATCTACGGGATCTGGCGGAGGAGAGAAAGATAAAACTGGAACAGAATTTGCTCTTACGCCAATTAGAGAGTGATGCAAAACAGGTGAGAAAAAGTATTCATCATTTCACTCAGGTTTGTTAGAAACCTTATCGTAAGCGGCTGCTGATGATGAAGTGTGCGGCTGTGTATAGGGGCCGTTAGGCGAAACCGAACGCGAGAGCCTGTGCACAGGCTAAACAGACGGCGGTAAGAGGTTTTATGGGCAGCGGTCAACCGCCGGTAACTAGCTTTTACTAAAACCTCTGCTTCACTGTTTCTCCATCTTGAAAAAGTACGGCTCAAGATCAGTTTTCAAATTCGTAATCTACAATCCTTGTGAATCCTCTGCATCCATAACCATCTTTATTCCTACTTGTTATAATCATGCCTTATTAATGTTTTTCTTCCTAAACGAACGACCATTTCAAGGCTCTATTCTGAGTAAAAAAAAAATCCCAAGTTGCTAGAAATGACCTCCCTATGGCCAAAAATATCGCGAGTAGCTCGTGAAAACATTAATAAGGATATTCGACCCTCTCAAGGAATAGCTTATTGGTGCACTGGACAATTTAAATGAGTTATGAATATTCTCAGTGCTTCCCTCTGTTACTCAATCAAAAAGAAGTCATTGCAGTTACATCTCGAATGACATCGTTAAGACATTAAGTTTTTCTAGTTTAACGTCATGTCCGCGATTGACTCGGTATTTTCTCGGTAGGTTGTCGGCTGGGTACGGAATGGCGAGGCTATGCTTTACGCCAGCACCGAACTTGGGACATCACTCGTTGAGGCAGAGGCTCTTTTAAGAGAACACGAGGAATTTCAGAGAGCCATTGAGGTATGTAATGTTAGGCAATCTTTAAAGAAATCTTTCAGTCAAGTTTTAATAATCTTTATTTTGTTCCTTAGTTATATATTTTCATTCTTAGCCTTTATTGTTTTGTTGTCTTTATCCTTGTCTCTTTATAAGTTTTATTTATCCTGCCAAGGTAATATTGTGTATTGTTGTGTATTTTGCTTGAAACGCTGTTTTACCTTTTGCACCCGAACATCAGTATGCATATTCTCCATACTGTTCTCTATACATTTCCTAAGGTGCTGACAAGGAGAATTTGTTTAACAATCTAGAGCTTTTTTAGTTGGTGATCATTTCCTTTATTCTCATGACGTTAATGTTTGATACAGGGGTGACATTGTAAGGAGAATTTAGATGCTAGTCTCTTTTAGGGGTCAAAAGGTTTAGGGTAGTTTTGCTGGCAAATTCTTGTGGTTTTACTCTTCCAGCCATGTTTTGACGACCAGGAAACATGGTAAATTACGTTTAAGGTACTGATAAAACCGCCTTGGGGTCGTGCAGCAAGTGCGTATTTTAACTGATTGTTATGTTTGCAGAAAACATGTCAAAGTGCCACTGAAGTTCGGCAACGCGCCGACAAATTAATTAAAGATGGTCACTTTGATCCTGAGGCCATCCGGAACTGCGCGGGAAGTATGAGTAGACGATGGGAACTGCTCATGAGCAAGTCGGAGGAAAGAAGGAAAGTTGTCACGGCCTCGTACAGCTTCTTCAAGTCTGCAGATCAGGTAAGTGTCGCAACTGGTCGATTCGTTATTTGAACGAGACATGGAACTCTGCCTTTGTGCATGGGCGGATATTTGGAAATTGTCTTGCGTAGGGAAATTGGTTAATTTTTACTCGTCTGTTAGTCAGTCAATCGCTCAGACACTTACTCAGTCTTTGTTTGTCTGTCTTGTCAGTCAGATAAAAATTACTTCGCGTAAATCTGATTTACCATAGTAAATTAAAGTGCGTTTTTATTTTTGTGATTATTCCTATTACAGGTGTCCATTTCAATGGACCGCCTCATTCGTGATTACAAACTAGAAGAGGGAGACCCATGTAGTAAACTGATCGAAACCGATTCGATGAAACGCCTGGAAGCTATGAAAGCCATCGTCCAAAGCTATGACGAAGACAAGGAATCCATCGCCACAGGCCTGCTGGACGTGAAGCGGAACGCTGACTCATTTTTGTCTACGATCGCACCTTTAAGTAGTGAGCGTCCCGACATAACTATTGAGCGAGTTAAGGAATCACAAGAACAACTCAAAGCGCAGGAACAACAAGTGTTAGAAGTTTGGAACGTTAGACGGACGTTAGCAGATTACTGTTTGCAGTTTCTTGAGCTGGAACAGTGCGCTAAAGAGGTGTGTTTGTTAAAAAGAAAAGATGTTATTTCACTGCTCTAGAAGCATTTGTTCTCTGGAAAAGATACAGGGGTTGGTGGGAAAGCGACTGAAATAAGTTGTCAGTCCATCGAGCTCAGTCTTTGCTGTTGCTTTAGAGAACAACTCAGCGCGAGAAAACCACCTTTCTCTTAGTATTCTTAAGTATTACCCATCCACCAGTCTATCGCACGCATAAGTCGTTCATTCAGAGCTTCAGCGAATTTGTAACTGAGCGGGAAAGTGACACCTACGCGTATTTCATAGGGCCAATCACAGGCAATAACGAACTGCGTCATAAGTTGGCTTCCTTTTGAAGTAATTTCCTCTGGATGGATAGTTCTTCCTCTCAAATCTCAGTGTTCAATCCGTAGAGTTATATCTTCTGTCATTCGTTTTCTGTAATAATTGTAACTTAGGAAAGATGTCAATTTGTCATTTTAGGCACTGGATTGGATTCATGAAAATGGCGAGTTTTATTTGTCGAGTCGGACGGGAGAAGGTGACTCGGACGCTCAAACAAAAGAGCTTTTAGATGAACACCAAGAGTTCAAGGAGGCTTCAGAGGTATATGAATTGGTGTGTGAAACCTTTTTGGTTCACTTATGTCTTAGCTGTCTTTTGCTTTTACGTTTTTTGATTTCTTTCGATAGTAAATAATTTGGTGTCTGTTGGTACAGTCACCTTACTCAAGCAACATCGGTGAGAATTGAAGGTACTGCCATTCGAGTCTTGTTTTTCTCCAACCCTAATCCTTGCAAGATCTGAGAACATTTTCTGCCAACTAATGATCAAGAATTTTTCCGCTGGCTAGTGCTAAGAATGTAGTGTTACTTCAAAGACAAATCTCCTAGTTGATAATGTGCTTAAATCTCGTGACCCCATCTGTTTGGCTTTGGGTCAAAATTGCCAGGGGACTTACTCACTCTTTACAGCCGATTCCAAACAGTCAGTTTATGCCTACGAGCGGAAAAGCAAGACAAACAAAAAAGCGCGACGAGCAAGAGGTACTAAAAACTTTGCAGACCATGGATAGCTCCATCATTTTCCTTTGCCTTCTTCGTCGACTTTCGCTCGCCCGCTCAGTTTTGGCTCGTCTCAACTAATCGAGGGTTCAGCCAAGGCTAATCTGTGTTTGATTTTCACAGACAATCCACTTCATAAGCATGTCAATCATCTGTTTTACTCCAACATTGTTTTCTCTTTTTCCTTTTTTCACAGCAAATCAGAGAGAGAGTCAAATCCATGTTACACCAAGCGGAAACACTGATAGCCAAATCCTGTTACCATAGTGACGGAATCAGGCAATGGGCCACGGCAGTTGAGAAAAGATACAAAGATTTTGCTCGACGGATGCAAAAATATCGTGCAAAACTCGAGAACAAGCTGGGATATACTGCTTCGGAACACGAGGTATTGTTTGTTTTCATGTCTAGGAACGTTTAAATAACTCTTGATTTCTTAATCACGACTGAGAAAATTGCCTAATTCTGAATGGCTGACAGTAGGCACTTTAAACGGGATATCTTCATAGGAGGTACACTACCATTCAGGGAACACTTTTTTAAGTCACTTGTATGTCCCCTGACCAGAGATCCACTCTATTACCTTTGTATATGTTACTTTTAACAAAGCGACCTCTGATTAAGGGTCGATTTTGATAGTCCTGAGAGTGCCCCTTGAGTTAAGGTTCCACTGAAGGGATAAATCTCTGCCCACTCCTTCTCTTGTTTTCTTACCAGCGGAGTTTTCGCGCCTACTTTTTTTCAATGATTTTAAACAGTTTTTTTTTTTAGATCAAAACTCTTGATGTATGTTTGTTTTTGTGTTTCGGGATCATCTGTTATCTTCCTAGCAACACCAATAATAGTTCGGATTATTTAAAGAAGCGGCTGGCCAAAATTTTCCTTATCGCCAAAAGTCCTGCGAACACTGTTTTAAAAGCTTCCTACCAGCCTTATCTCAAATGATACTCATTAAAAAACCTCTTAAAAAGAAGTCTTTTCATTCTATGTTGTCAATAGTTTGCGGTTAATATTACTAGTACTAAACTAGTCTTTTATACTAAAAGCCCATTTATTTTGTATTGCAACAAATCAACAAATTGATGTAATCGCTGTTTTCTATAAATCGTGTCAGTTTTATGTAAATTGCGGGACGAGAATTTTAACCATGTTCAAAAACAATCTCCTGCTAGAAAATTTGTGGTACTTTTCAATTATCTGCGCCGCATGACTTTCCCAGATAATTTCCGAACGCACCCAAAATTAGGAACATGAAAAAATTTCGAGAGTTGAGTGTAGGTTTCCAGTAAGTTGATATTTTTACAGATGGGAAAGCGAGGCCGGTAACTAGGGATTAAGCGTAAGCCATAAGTGTAAAAGATACTATTTCTCCAAAGCCTTTCAACGCATTTAAAAGTTTTCAACAAAGGGTGATATTAAATTTTAAAATAATTTGGCAGTGCTAAACGAGTGGTCCGTGGAATTATTGAAAATTAATAAAACTGTTCCAATGGTTGTTTTGGCTTTTCGTAAGTAGTGTTTTTCACGGTTAAAATATTGCGGAAACGGTCTTATGAATATCGAGTAGAAAATGCAGGTGGATGCGCTTTAAGAAAAAACCGCGTGTGGCCCTCTTCCTGTCTTTGTATTTGGTCTTCCCCGAAGCGTTAAGAATTGTCAGATCGTCACAAACCACCGGCATTCCATTATTAATTAATATTGCAACTCTTTGGCTATTGTGCTGATAATAACATCGATATGTGGTGGAAAGGGAAGGTTGTAGGCGAGACATGCCGCCATCTTGCCGGTGCCTTTACGTGTTCGCTAAAGTAAATTCCTTGAATTAAGAAGATTTGCCTCAAAAGCTCCTCAGTTTTCGAGAATACGTCGATGAGTTGCGTAGTTGTCACGGAAACTCGACGAATTGATGGGCAGGATTTTGATGGTCGAAATTTGACTCGGCCGTTTCCTTAAGCGACAGATTGTAATTGTTTTGATCGTAGTGAAGTGAAACTCGACACTCTTTTGTGGACAATTCAACAGGACTCGCGCGGCTAATAAGCATGTGAAAATCGCGTTTTAATTGAGCGAGTCGTGTTTGCTCGTCAAGGAGTGTCTGGTTCGCGAAATTGAGCGCAATTTACCAGGATCCTGAACACAAGTCCTGAAAAACATTTACTTACATATCACAAATGTGGACCAACGCGACCATTAGATTGCGAATGAAATGGTTGTGATGTTTTGCGTGTGTTTCTCGTTCTTTACTGTATGACCGCGTGATTAACTCAAGGTGGCTTAGCGTGTTGGAAGAGGTAGTCAGTCATTCGGGGAGGAAGAGAAAATGGCGAACGACCACAACGACGATTACTACGATGATTTCTCCGATGGGGAGTCCAATTTATCCAGTTATCGATCACTGACTCTGTTCTCTTCGTTACTTTGTATTGATTGTCAGGATGATGTGGAATGGCCGAGCCTGCAGTCGTTACACACACAGGGCCAACAACAACAGCAAGCGTTTGCTTTAAGGGAGACTTCTAAGGACAGCGGTATCCATGAAATGACTGAGGAAAAGAGACGCTCTGCCAAGCGGAAAGAGTGAGTTGAAAAAATAGAACACCTCCTTTGTTCCAAGGGCTTTTTTTGTCACTGCATTTTTATACTGTCGCCTTAAAAAAA